AAAAAAAAAAAAAAAAAAAAAAAAGAAATGGGCTGTTCCATAGATGCACTTTGGTTTAACAAACGGGCGACCTCCCCTTGTGGAATAAACCTATCCCTCCAAAATGGATGTTTCCTTTTCTGATACCCACGATAAATTAAAACCAAGCAAGAAGTCTCTGATTTGACACAATAAATACTTAGAATATATCAAATTAAAAAAATATAGTTACAAAAGCCTCAATGGAATTCTCTTTCTGACCTAACTACAGACAGATTCTTCACAGACAACAAGTATCTCCGAAATCAGCTGCAGCTCCCCTCTCTGCTCACTGGGCTTGGTCAACAAGTGCTATCACTTACCCTTTGGAATACTGTTAAGACAAAACAATATAGAGCACAAGTCGTCTACTCCTAAATTTGCTTTTCATACTGCCAAAGCTGTAGGAAGCAACCATCGCTGGGGAACCCTCACAGCAGCGCAGTGACAGAGTCACAGCACCGCAGCAACACAGACAGGGAAACTGGGGAAAAAAACCAAAGCATAGAAAGGGAAAGAGGAGAAAGAACACGTGAAAGTCAGGAATGATGATGAGAGAGAGGAAACAAAGAGACCAATCAAGTTCAGCTGGACTTCCCAGCTCTGGCAGCAGAGCAGATGAGATGCTGTTCAACAGGAAGAGTTCCTTGGGGTCTGTCATAACTAGGAATGTTGTTGGCATCTTCTTCACCATTGACAGTAAGTGAGCAGATGTTAACCTTCTCTGACACTGACACGTGGTTCTGCCAGTGAGCCATGGATGATCCCAATGATTGATTCAACACCATCTCCCTCCAATAAGGTGCGGTGATCTCCTTCAATGACGTGGACCGATACTTTTCCATCGCATACCTGCACAGACACAGAACACATCCACAGTTTAAAGCCAGCTAGCCGTGTAGCTGCCTGGGCTCTGCCAGTCTGAGTTATTCATATAACTTTAACGTCATCTTTAACCAATGCTTCTGAAAAACACAACCAGGTACATTCTAATAGATGTTTTACAGTAGTTGTGCCCAACCCATGAGTTTTACATTTTTGTTGCCTTCTTTATTGTTTTCATTAAAAAAAAGTTTTGTTACTTCTATCCATTAACTATGTTATATACATTTTATATACAGCCCAAGACAATTCCTCTTCACTCAGCGTAACCAAGGCAAACCAAAAGGTTGGACACCCATATGAGCATTCAAACGTAAGCTGGGCAGGAAAACAACACCAACATGATACTAACAGGATAATTTACCTACTTTATCTATGGATGACTGAAGTAGATACCTACGTGCCCCTAGGACAACCAAATAACCCTCCATCTATCTTCCTCCCACCACCGTAACTCTTCCTATAAGGGCATTATGGAACTTTTATCACATTCAGCTTGGAAGCAAGAGTAAATACAAGTCATAAGTTAGAAGGCGTGGGAGGTGCCAATATAACAAAGGTAATTTAGAAAATCACTTACTGCAGACAGCAGGAAAAAGGAATGTGAGACACTTCCCCTTTTATCTAAGCAGGAGCTACAGAACAGTGACCTTATCTGGATACAGGCCAACAACCTACTTTTCATTTTTTTGGCCCCCAGGATACCCACAGACTGACTTCTACACAGTCCACAAAACATAACTAAGAAAAGCTGCCGCTGCTGTCAGAGGGCTGGTACTCATTCTTTTAGGTCTGCACTCATGCACTGAACGAACTTTTGGGGTCTGCACTCAAATACCAGAGGTTCAAAGTTACTTTTGTCAAGTTACACTCTTAACACCTTTATTATCCAAAATCTACTTAGGGAGATGCAAGAATTAGCTATAGAAAACAGATCATCCAATATAGAGGCTTGATCTCCCCTTGGCCCCTCCCTGATGGAAACCATCAGCTTAACAGTTTCTGGAAAGTTAATTCTTATCAGTGTGTCATAGCTGCAGAACGGTTACTTCTTTAACTTCAGTTTCATTCTTCTTCCCTCCCTAAGAGTGGTTCCCATGATTTTCTATTCCCCCACCTATCAGGGGACCCTCATCAGTCACCAGCAGATCTCACACTGACCTCTGAGAGTCTGTAGTCGCCACCCAGACCTTCTTCATACTCATTGTGAGTCTTTGCCCGCATCAGTGTCACGTTCCCATGATACTTGGACTCTGGTATATACTTGTCAGCAGCCTTCAGCTTGTGGTAAAAGGAAGCAGCAGCAAAGCTGAGTGCTTCACGATTGATGTTTTTATGAATCTGAGTTATAAGGTCCGCAGCAGCATTGACACGAGCCTCCAGATCTTCCAAGGGCAGAAGAATCTCCAACAACTGGAAATATTGAAAAAAATTCCCCTTTAGTCTCGATATCTGGGCGTTAGTCTACATTAAACACATAAAAACCAGCACCCACAACCACACCCTTCCTGTGCAGTGTAAGAAAGAAGCATTACCTTATTGTATTCAATGCCTGTAAACTGCTGAACAAAGGCACACAGCGCTTCTGTCTCCAACGCAGCCTCATTTCCTTGGGTCAGCTTTGCTCTGTAGCTCTAAAAAAAGAGAACAGTAAAACACTGTTGTGGGAGGGATACAGCTGAGCTTGAGTGTTAGATAAAAGCAATTCCAGAATAAAGGACTTTGAACTGGAGAAGAAGAGGGGAAAGGGGGGGGGGAGGAAAATAAATAAAAATAGAAACTAAACCTTGGACAAGGTACCTTGAGGACAGATTAGAAAGCACATCTAACAGGTAGTGAATGCCCAAAGACCAGGATCCCTTGGGCAGCATAATGAAAATGGAAAGGGAAGACCTAAGGAGGGTTTTCTAGCACATCTACTTTAGGATTTTGTCTTGCAGGCTCAAAAGGTCTTCCAGAAGACATTATTATTATTATTTACAATTGCAAGAGCAGAATGTGTGGGCCAGCCCTAGCTAGTTAACAAATAACACCCCCATATGCCTCCAACCCCCAAGGGATCCTTAAGTGCCCACTGTCTACAGCTCTGTCGCATCTCCCCTGGCAAGAAAGGTCTTAGCTTTTTAGATGGTTCATAACCAGAACAGTAAGCTCACAGTAAGCATCCCACCCTCCCTGATGACACAGAACGTTTTCCAAATGGAAGGTTGTATTTTAATTTTTTTTTACCTGAGTGTACGCTGCCACAAAGGAATGAGACCCATCAAAGAGGAATAAACTGTTGAGTGCATGGGAAGCATTTTGTTGTGCTTGCAGCTGGGAGCACATTTCAAAGGCTACGCAGGCACCAAAAGAGTATCCAGCAATGCGATAAGGTCCTTCAGGCTGTATCTGCTTCATGCAGTCAATATAATAGGATGCCAGGCTCTGTATGCTGTCCAAGGGAGCAGCTAGAACATGAAAACAAATTAGTCAGGTGAAACAGACACTAGCGGCGACAACTGCTTTCTCAAGAGCTCAGAAACATCCACATTATTTTAGAAGTAAGCTTCTCAATTACTGTGAGCAACTTTTATTTTAGACAAGTAACAGTTCTGCTTCCAGTTTTCAAAGATAGGAAGAAGGCCATGCATTGTTTCTCTCCTAAATGCTTACCTGCTCAAGTTACTCAATCTATTTGTTCCATTTCCCCATACATAAGCTCTTCAGTCTAACCTAACACTTCTCATTACCTGGGGTTGTTTGCCACAACACTGTATGGGTTGTGAGCACTGATGCTTGGTCCTTTGCATTTAAGGGTCTAGAAACAAAACTCCTTCTATAAAGGAACTGAAGTTCAGACTGTTAGATATACAAATTCAAGATGCTGAAGAACTGAGATACCTTTTGTGCACTGGAGTCCATAGCAGGGCATATGAAGTTTGGAGGCAAGAGTGTAGAAGACTGCAATGGATCCCTCAATGGGGTGCACAAGGAAAAGAGGGCGTTCTGTGCTCTGAACTTCATTGAGACGGGTGATCGTTGGCCCCTCTGGATTCACCAGCAAGTTATTCAAATCCAGCTTTGGAGGCTCACCTGGGCCCATCTTCAATACTTGGGATGGCTTCAGTTCTTTGAAGGAAAGAACAGCAGACACAGTTAGTCATATAGGATCAGAGACTTGGTCATGTTGCCATAGCCCTACAAGAGGTGCTGAGGACTGCTCTGTATTAGCCCACTGGCTCACTAAATCAAGGCACTGTCAGTTGCTCTGTGGCAGCTGTCCATGCTTTTGGCTTGCAGTAAACATGTCTGTAGAGTAATGGCCATAACGTCAAGTAGAAGATCTCCAATCACATCCTGCACACAGCTATGTAAGAATACTCGTGTAGGCAGATGCTATCCAGGCAGCACAACAGCTTTCACAGCCTTTCTTATATTCTTTACTGGAACTAATGGGCCTAACTTAACGTCACCACATTTTAGCAGAATGTTGGTCATATAAAGAAGCCTTTCAGCTATCATCAGATACCATTTCACAACTTGATAAAGGCTTATGTCACCAGAGATGAAAGCAACGGGTTCAGAGCTCAGTTGTTTGAACTCAGCTGATGGTAGCAACCCTAATCCAGACATCTACCTTCTGCTGCCCCAGACTTGGAGGACAGTTCACGCAGTTTGTTGATTGTAAGCAGTCGGATTTCTCTCATGGTCATAACGATGTCATAGTCTCTCTCCAGCGTCTGGCGCACCTCCACACCCATCAAGGAATCCAGGCCCAAGTCTGCTAAGGAGCTCTCAGCATTCAGACTGCTCACATCACGAACACCTGAGGAAAAAACAGCACACAAGACTTTTCAGCTCTAGATCTCCCTACAGCAATCTTCTCAGCTTTTCACTTTTTCCTTAAACATGAATAAAGCACAGCTACAGAGCAGAATTTGCTTTTCAAGATCATCTAATGCTTTCAAAAATCACCTCTTCTACAATCCACGTCTGATTTAGTATTTAGACTGTATGTTATATGTGCACAGCTTTATGACAGGCAATATATCAGTCACAGCTACATAGCTGTGAACATTGGCACTTCAGCTCTAGAAGTTCAGAACATCCAACTGGAGACACCTAAAGAGGCTGTAACTGAAGGCACAGTCCTACACCTAACAAGGTTTACCCTTTAGGCTGAACCAGGTTCCCTTCCCAGACCTCTTCCCAAGCTACCCATCACTCAGAGAGGACAAAATGTCACTGGCTGTTGCCCAGTCTTCTTCTACCTGGCAGCATGGCATAATGAGGGAAACAAACTTTTGGTCGCTACTGGACACAGAATACTGGAATAGACAAACCTCCAGTCACACCCCACCACACAGTTCTCAGGTTCTCATGCAAACTGCTAAGGAAATGATCATACCAGCAGTATCTCTATGAGTGCTAAGGCAAAGGATGCTTCTAGAAATAAGCAGAGGCTGAGGTATACATCAGTCCTCACTTTCCACCCAGTGCAGATTGGAAACACAATTCCCCTCAGACCATACTGGAGCAAGACCCCTTCTAAAATGAGCACCAAGTATGCAATTGCTAGACTTTGCATTTACCAAGGATATGAGCAACAGCTTCTACAAGATCCCGTTGACTTCCTCCTTCACTTTTCACAGAGACCTTCTCTGCTAGGACAAAACTGGACATGACAGGATGAGGTTGATTCAGGAACATATCAAGCACCTCCAGGCATGAGCTGATTTGCTGGAGAACAGTTCCCCCAATCACAACTTCTCTGTTTGCCATTGCCTTCAGGATGCCCACATCACCAATGGCTCCCCACTGGACTGCCAGGCCTGGAGGAGAAATCACAAGGAAGAACACACTAGGCAACTAATTTAAGCACACAGCAGCAATAAAAGGGAGCTAAAAACAGCTAAGCAAAAGCCCACATTCCTCTAATACTATTTAAATAATCAGTTTTCATTCACATCTGAATGATTCAGTTTAACAGCTGCAACAGGAAACAGCTGTCATTATTCCAGACACAGATTCCTGGTGTGCTGGTTCTCCTCTGAATGTTTGTAGGATAAGATTTTTCTCTGCAGTGAATGAAGTCATCTTACCTGGGAGTCCATCGTGATGCCGCTGCTCACAGATACGCTCCATGGCAGAATTAGCAAAGCCATAATTACTTTGCCCAGCATTTCCTCTTCCACAGCTTACAGAGGAGAATACAACAAAGTAGTCCAGGTCTGGGCACTTCTTACGAGTCACCCTTGGAATAGAACAAGTGACAGAGAAACCCATCAGGAAAACTGGGAACCACTTGTTGCTGTGGAAAGCCACTAAGACTGAAATATCCAAGACTGGTCAACTCAGTGACCACAAATGCAGCTCATATTTGTCCCTTCTACAGATACCTACCGGTCCAAATGAAGGGTGCCTGAATACTTGGGCTTGTTGACCTCCCAGAATAATTCTGGGGTCTGATTTTCAATCATGGCATCTTTAAGGACCTGTCAGATGGGTTTAAAACAAAGAAATTGTATGAGTATCTCAGTTTCTGTTTAAATTTATCACGGATACAAGAAGATATCACTACACAATGCACTTTTCTAGTTTTACAGCACAGAGGTATCCTGGATGTCACGAAATACAAGAAGGCCAACTCATCTATTGGTAAGCCTGTTCAGTGCTGCCACTGCAGTCTTCAACTGGTAAACTTGTTATAGGATTCTTCTTGTCCCCAGAGGCCAAGGGTAACATTCACTTTAATCCAAAACTGAGCTAGCTGGTCACATACTGTTGCTACCCAGGTTAAGGGGCCAGATGCAAAAGCCTTCAGTCATTACCTCAGGCCAAAGCAAAACACCCTTTGAAACAGAGACACAACCTAAAACTCTACAAAAGTGGAAAAAGCCACTTTAATGTCTGCTGTCTCTTGCAAGTTTCTAAGCCTTACTGGCACTTACCACAGCCAAATTAAAGATGCCTCCAACTGGTCCCAGCTTCAAAGCTTCTTCTATCAAAAGCTGTGTTCCTTCTAGAGTTCCAACATCACTGGTAGAAACCAACACTTGGATTCCCAGCGCCTTCCATTCTCTGACACATTTAGCCTGGTAGCCTTAACAAACAAACATACATGTGGGATGAAGCACTCAAACCATCTCAACTCAAACCAGGGTCTGAATAGCTAAACAATCCCCAGTTCAGCTACAAGAGGAACACTGGACAAAATCTGAATGGTGACAGAAAACACTCAAGTCTCAGAGCATCCTAAACAGATCACAAAGAGGACAAGAGATTCAGGAGAGCAGGGTGGGAGAGCATGAGTGAACTTAAGACTTTATATTCCAAGACAGGAACAAGTGGCAAGATTAGAGCAAGACAGCAGGCAACAGTAGGACAAGCAGAACTTGAGAGATAAAAGGATTTGAACTACGTTTGCAGAAGTTGGGAAATTGTGAACTTGCTAAAAGAAAAAAGAAATTTGTAAAGACAGAAGTTTTGTTATGGCTGAATTTCACCAAGGGAGCACTTAAGACTACCATTGATAAGAAATCTCAGTGCTGAGACTGCAATACTCAAAACTGAGTAAAAAAGTTTCTGGTGTTATTAGATAGCAGGGTATAGCTTTTGCTCCTTCAGATACCTCATGTAAAAAGTGAGCAACCACACTCAATTTAAGGGAACAAGCATCTTTAGTAATTCACTGCCACTGAACGCAGCAGCGATGTAGCTGGATACAGACTTCATAGAAGGAATAAAACTAAAAATTAAGACTGCAGAGAAGTATCTTAGGCAATGGAGAAAGAGGCAAACATGGCTTGATAGACTTAAGTTGCATTAAAAAAAAAAAAAGAAGAAAGAAGTAGCTGGAAAAAAGAGGCAGACTTCAAAGATACTTCATCCCTTAGACTAAAATGAATCACAACTTGTTTGAAGTGAGTGAACACACACAAGGGAGGGAAAAGAATTATGAAGACACTGATAAAACACTTAAAAATTGAGAGAAACAAACTGAGGACAATTGAGGTTTTTGCTTACCAGTTCGTATGCCAGAACGGGATGTCAGTACAAGCTTCTGTGCTCCTCTCTCAATCAGCCACTGTGCCAACTCAAGCCCAAATCCTCCTAGGCCTCCTGTGATGATGTAGGACTTGGCAGGTGGGCAGGAAGTTCGGGAGATGGCAGAAAGCTTTACTGGTTCAGACCTTAAAGGATATTGCTTCTCCTCCTCTTGGATCTTCCAGAACAAAGCAAATAAACAAAAAACAACACCAAAAAGCACATTAAAATTGGATGCACAAACACATTCTGTCTTCCCACATGCAGCTATGCTCCTCCAGTCAACAGGGGATCAAACTTGTTTCAGAGTGACAGACCTGACAACGCTATACATGCCACAGTGTCAGCAGCAAAAGCTGTAACCCCATGCTGTTACACAACTTCAAGTTTAACTGGATCAAAACACCCAATACAGAGGATGACAGGCATCAGGGAATCAACACCCTTATCTCGTTACCTTGATCATAACTTTGCCAATATGTTTTCCTTGCGCCATGAACCTGAAGGCAGCTTCTACCTCTTCTTTACCAAAGACTGTGCTTTTCAGGGGCTTCACCACACCATCTTTTATGCCTTTTGTCAACAACTCTGATACCACCTCCCACTCTTGGTTTCCTTCCTCAAAGATTGAATCCAGCAGGATTCCATGGAACGCCACATTCTTGAGGAAAAGAGCCATTCCTGGAAAAAGCAACATCATTACCACCTGGTGCTGCTGCCACCTCAAGACAGAATCCATCTTTTTTAGGAACATTTTTTGTGCAAGTCAACAGTATAAAACTAAGGAGCAAAGCAGTTACTGCTTGCTAGAAAACTCATTCTTGCATATACTCTCTGAAGGCTATGTTAGTTAGGCTGCTCTCTTACGAGTGGACTAATTCAACAGCAACTCCACCTACAAGAACTTTGTCAACAGGACAAGCTACGACATGGTCATTTTGATATTAAAAAGGATGTTTTGCAATACAGTGACAGCTGAGTCAGAGGGACAGAGGAGCCAGAATCCCACGTACATCCTGTCCTTCTACACAAACTCTTCTTCACAGGAAACTTTTACTGATGCTAGACTTTTTTTTTTTTTTTTTTTTTTTTTTAATTTATTTACAATAAAAAGGGAGACTGTCAACATTTGGTGCATACAATCCTCCCACAAACTGTCAGTGATGAAAACAAATTTTTGCAACAATGCATTTAACACGCAGCTTTTACAAAACAAATGTTCGAGCTCTAAGTTCTTCTCAATTTGAATATTAGTCTGTATTATGATAGGTTGTGCTTTCCTGTTTGCCTAAGCATAAGGAGACTGATTTCCTGAAGCCCCATCTTACCAAGCTGACTGTTGTTTGATAGATCAAATTTGCCTATTTCCAAGAAGCGCCCATGTTGAGCAAGACAACGCAAACTGGCCTGGAGCTTCTCTTCTGCCAAGGAATTTAACACAAGGTTGACACCTGTAGTGAAAGGAGAAGAAACTGTTTAAGAAACTCACTCTTTTGAGAGCCAACCCATTTCCTATCAAGCCATTTTGTCATCAGGCATTACAACTGCATAACATGACATAGCTGAGTAAGAAGACAAAACAAAATATTCCTCCAACTGACCTTTCCCATTGGTAACTCGCAGTATATGTTGCTCAAAGGTTGTATTTCGGGAGCTGGCAAAGCTGTTAGCATCCAGCTGTGGGAACCTTGCTTGGAGATACTCACGTTTCTCAGCAGAGCCTGGAAGAGTTAGACATAAGATGACAGCTGAACAATGGCAGTACTCACATGTTAATTCTTCAGAGATAAAAACAACAGGGAAAGATGTGCAGCCTGAGCAACCACTTGCTTCAAAGGTTTCAAGCTCTCAATGTGTCAAACCTTGGGACAAAGGGTGCTTATGTACGGGACAGAGGAATGACCAGAAATAATTAAGTCTTACAATTGTAGACTAGATCCTCAGTACTCACCTACAGTAGCAAAAACACGGCAGCCCATGCTCAGAGCAATGGCAATGGCTGCTTGGCCCACACCTCCTGAGCCAGAGTGAATGAGGACACTCTCCCCCTTCTTCATACCACCTCGAACCACCAAAGCATAATAAGCAGTGGCATAAACCACAGGCACTGAAGCTGCTTCTTCCAGAGTCCTAAGAAACAAAGCAAAGGGGAGAAGACATCTTCAGCCTTAGAAAACCTAACAGATTCCCTTGATAAAGTTTGCTTTTCAGAAATATGAAGGTTTAATCTGCCAAGATGGACCAAAAAGTATAAAGGGTTCTCAATCATAGAGCTGACTGCAACAGTGGCCACATAGTGCTAAGGGCCTTTTCTTCTGCAGGAATATTTTACTAACACAGTAAATCAGTAACACATCCAACACCAAAACCTTTGCTTATACAGAAAGAGCCAAAAGCACAAGAAATAGATGGAAAAAAACAGTGCAAATCATTGCACAAAACAACACAAAAAAAACAGTGCCGCAGTCAATCAGATGATTGAGCCAAATCTCACAGCTGCTCACGAGACCAAAGTTCATACAATTTCCCAGAGTGAGATCTTCACGTCTTCACGTCAGACCAGGGTTGTCACCAGCCTCAAGCAGCAAGGCAAAACTTATCCACGTACATAAAACAGAAGCTAACCTACCAGTTTTCAGGCACTTCCCATAGGAACCTCTTGTCACAGTCCACCACTGTGGCCAGCCCTTTTGCTGGCAGCAATCCCATCACTCTCCTTCCAGCCAGGTCCCGTCCTGAGAACTCCATGCCCAGCATGCACTGCTGCAACGTCCAGTTACCTGCAAGAAGGTAAAAGGTCTTTTATCAAGGAAAACTTCTCTTCTAAAATCCTTTGGACAAGAATTTCCTAAAATGACAGCCCTTGAAATCTAGAACCCTAGAGACAGAAAGAGCTAGGATTTATCTATTATGTACAAAGATCATTAGTTACCACAGCTAATTTCTCATTAAAGAGAGCAGCAAAAAAGGACTGAATCTCTTACTCTCTACCCTTAACAATACTGCTTTAGTTTCCAGCTTTTATCTGAGAAATCTAATCGAAATACCCTGCTCCAGCATTTTTGTTGTTCTTTGGAAATACATAAATAAGCATTAACTAGAAAGGACAAACACAGAAAATAGCTTTACAGCAAAACCTTTGTTTCTGTGTTTTAAGTACAGCCTGATCTCACTCATGAAGGGAAACCCAGTCCTAATCAAGTAGCTCATATAAGAGTCTTACTTTTTTTGGCTTGTATTTAAACAAGCATTAAAACCATTAAACAAGCCTTAGAACCATTTTGCAGACACTACACAAATCCTTATGAGATCACAGTCTCCAGTCTGCAGACAGGAGATCCTACACCTTGCCCTTTCTTTCCCTAAAAGCAAAGTATGTCCTGCAGCTGCCAACTTCCTCAGCTCAGCACGCATCTCACCCATCACCGGAATTTCCATCAAGATGTTTCACCTCACACTTGATATCTATGCAATGGGGTTAATAATCTTTCCTCCCAGCAAACGTTCAATGACTCTGCCACGTGAGAAGTGGGGCCATAACTGAAGTAGCACTTGCAAGTCCTTGTGTGTGATCCTGAAGTAAAGCCTATATACTTCCTCTCCTAAAGGTACTTTCTTGCTAAATAAAGCCTGATATATACTTTAGCCAGTGCATAATCAGAATTACTGAAGTTACATGAATGAATTCTTCCAGGCTAATCAGAACCCACCAGGGATAGCATCTGGAGAAAGCTTTCCTGTTGCCAGCATAATGTCCCGGAAATTGAGAGATGCGTAGTAAACTTTGCAGAGCTGAACATTCGGATTTGTTGTTTGGAAATGGCGGAGTGGGGAAACAATCCAACGAAGGGAAGAGAGATCTCCACGAGTCAACACGTTTATATAAGCATATTCTGTCAGCTCCTGAGGCTGAGCTGCAGAAGGAAGAACAGAGGAACTTTGCACACATTGACACACGCACACCCTTTCCAGAATTAATAGTCCCCTTTCATCATTGCTACCCTCTCCTCTATTTTCTCTCCACAAGTCCCATTCTTACCCTGCAATTCTACCCATATCCTAAGTACTTTACCCCTCCTCCTGGTACCAGAGCATGTTACTGTTCAGTCTGAGTTGGAACAAAAGAATTTCAAGTTATCCTTTATTATTAACGGTTGGACTGGATGATTTTTAGGTCTTTTCCAACCTTGGTGATTCTATGATTATTATTAACAGTTTAAAAACGTGAAACAATAGCTACTCATATATCTAGAGTCTGTTCCTCTAGGCCCTGCAAGTGATCCTCAAAGAAGGTACCTTGCTGCAACGGGAGATGCCTGAAGGAACCCCACTTTCCATCACGATACACATTCATCACCAGATCTCTCTGAATCATCTTCTGCATCTCCAGGGAAGAAAGACTTGTGGGTGGGACAGCTGATGAAGGGCTCAAGTTGGAAACGAACACGCACCTAGAGACCAAGAGTTGACATTTCGCTTTGTTTTGTTGCGAGCCTGAAAAGAACCTAACAAAACATCTCGTCTCCAAGCGTGACCTGTGGGCATGATTTCATACCTGATTCTGTGGCCTTCTGCTTCCAGGCGAAGGCAGTTCACCATACCCAAAATTCCAGAGTTCCCACAATTGGTGGCAGTCAACCACACAGGCTGCTCTGATGAGTCGGCCAAGATCTCCTACAGGACAGAAATGAAAAGGCAGAAATGAATAAGTTGTATTTCAAGCAAAAACAACTGAACAAACACAAACTCTTTTTCCTCCTTCCCTCCCACCATCTCCTTCTCTCCCCTCATAACACTGCTAAATTAAATCTCATTGAAGTGTAAAGATTTGGAAAGCCAAATATCCCAAACACACAAATTCTCACCTTTAAGGAGTCAACCCACTTATAATGAGTGTCATCTACTGGCAGAAAAATGGGTGTTTTGGCAGGGGATTGCCGTCGACACAGGAAAATAACTGAGCCAAAGAAAGATCTCTTCATTGCAACCAGATTCAGTGAGGCTTTGCTGAATAACTCCTCCCACTGTGCCTGTCAGATCAAGTACAACCCGAATTAACAGAAAGGTAAAAAACAGAATCAATTAAAACTACAAGTCACCACCTGTAGTCCATGCTGAGTCTCCCCCAAAACCACTTCACCATGAATAACAGGCCATCCAACCTTCTTCCATTTGCTGACATCCTGACATCAGTTTTGTTCTGCCTCAGCATAAATATGTATTTGATTTGCATTAGACTATTTTATGCTGTGTCTAAACTATGCCTTCCTCCCTGAAATATCCTCAGAATGCAGTAGAACTAGCATCCCAGAGTCCTGGCTAGAATACCAGTCTTACAAACAAGCAGATATTCAAAAAAACAGAATAGTAACCATTCTGTCAAACCCCACAGAGGATTTGAATGTATTGCTTTCATATATTCCTACAGAGAGCCTCAAAGTAAAGCAACATCTTAACATTTATCAAAACAAAGAATGCAAGCAGTAGACTGCAGACTAACCACTGAGAAAGTATTTGAGCCTGCAGGTCATTTACCTGTGACAGGAAGCTGTGCTTCTGCTGTAGGTCTGGACTTGTAAGAAAGCTGACAATTTCTCCAAGAGTTTCCTCTTTAAGAAGGGTGTGCAGCAAAACAAACCCTCCTTCTTTCACTGCAGCTGCTAAGTTAGAGATGATTTCAGTTGTGTTCTCTAGAACACTTGTTGAACAGTTGCATACTGCCAGGTCAGCATTGATCAGATTTCCAGAGGGAAGGCTAGAGGGATCCCACTGGCTAAAGGAGATTCCAGCATCATGTAGCTCAGTTTCATTAGCTGAAAGAGCTTCAGGGGTGCAGTCAGTGGCAACGTACTCCAGCTGCAACAGGGGCTGAGTATTCAGAATACTTGGGACACGAGAAAACAGGCGTCCACTTCCTGCCAGAGCCTATGAGAAGACAAAGATAGGGAGAGAGGAAATCAAATTAAGAATGAACAGTATTCAGAATTATCCCTGGAACAACAGAAGTAATATTAGGTTACTGGGAGGCCTGAAAACTTCAGGTGTGGTCCCATCCCAGGCTTTCAGCTAACCTCCACTATTTTCATCCTGTGACTGGTTGTGTTCTCCTTTGCCACATCTAGGCAGGTCTTCAACTCTGAAGAATCCAGCAAGCCATTGAGAAGGGGATCATCCTGGAGGTGCATCTTCTCCTGAGTCACAATCTGTTCCAGCTCAGAATGTAGGTTTCCGTTCAGTTCCAGACGGCAGATTTCAGTAAGGATATGCTGAAGGCCCTTCTGTGTGGGTGGGGACCCTGCAGCAGCCCCTTTGGTTTCTAGGCCATGGATAACCAGTTTGACACCATGCAGTGCCATCTTAGCTTGTAACTTCTGGATCAGGCCTGAAGAATAGAAGAAAATAAAGGAGGAGTCACATTTCAGATAATTCTTTTCCTCTTCCCAAGGAGAGTGTCTCCCCCTGCTTTTGCTCAGCTGATAAGCAGCACAAGGCACAGCACCTTGTATCACCAGCCTAGTCACAAAGACACAGTGCATGTCTCTGCACCTTCTCATAATCACAGATCACACAGCAGCTGCAGCCCCCAGACAAGCAGGCTAATGCCAAGGCAATCTAAACTACCAAAACTACACAAGAAAAGGCTCCAACTAAAAGAAGGCATCTAACAGAAAGTCTCTGATGGGTGAGAGCTTTAGGCAGTTGTGGAGGAAAATACTGAGTTTCCCCAGATGCTAAAGTCAGAAGATGATTTCTGGCTTTATAAACAGATGAAAAAAAACCAGCTCATCTTGAATGAGATCAGCAACAAAGATACACTGCAGAAGGTGATGAGCAGGGAACAGCAGATGTTTCCCCATCCAAAGAGCACTGTTCTATGCTACTGGTTTCAGAACAGATTCAGACTCTTTGATTCTGTTCTTGTGGCAAACGCAACTTTCTTCAGCACGTCTCAGCAGAACACTTTTCCTCCTGGGGTATACTCTTGTGCTTACAACTAAATGGGAACAGACATGTCATCTGAGCCATCTTTGCAAATAATAGGAAAAACAAACACAAAAGAAAGCCAAAAACTTGAGGAAATAGGCTTTTTTCACAACACTTGAAGTAAGACTGGATTTCTCCATGAAGGAGCTCCATAAAGGAGCTGATTTCTGCCTCTCTGTTTATAGGGAAGGTTCTGCCATCTGACACACTGACTGATACAGAAGGGTGGATGCCCATGTGCATCAGCTTTACATTCCAGAGGTACCTGAGGCAGAAGCAACTTTTAAGTTTCCAGCAAGCACGCATAGGGCTCTTCACAAAGTCTTGTACAGAGATCAACACTATTTCTTAAGTATTGAAATGATATGAACAGATTCTCTCAAATCTGGCAGGCTGGAAGATTCCCCTAGCGTGAAAACAAACCAACCCCATCCTACCTTTGCAGTGCTCCAGGTAGGCATGAAGCTGGGTACTGGAAGACAAGCAGTCATTCTCAATATAGGGAACAAAGGAGAATTTTTCCAGAGTGGGAGAAATCCGCTCCTGTTGTCGCCGTGGTGCCACAGAGGCATGAAGTCCATTGATCTGAACACCTCCTGCTTTGAGGCTATCAAGACAGCGGTCAACAACAACATCAAAAGCTGAAAGACAGGAAATAAACATTAAGTTTGCATCAAACATTCTAAGGACTTTATTCTGGGTGATCACATAAACAGCAGGTGCTACATCAGACTGTCACAGAGGGATCTGTAGAAAAGGTTGGAGAAGAAGAGGGGCACCTACAGTCCATCCTACTTATTAGGAATTCACACACAACACTTGAAGCAATGGCTAAAAGCCCAAGCACAGAAGACATTACCCTCTATGTTGTCCTGGTACTGGTACACCTGCTCCTGATGAACCACAGGGTCAATATACACCGAGCGAATCCTGGTGGGCAAGCGGAGGCTGCGCCCAGTCTCTGCTAAGACTATCAAGTGTAGCAGGGTGTCAAGGAAGGTTACCCAGTTTCCATTCCACAGAATCTTCCCTGCACTTCCTGCAGAAAAAGAAGGGGAAGCCTGTGATTTCATTATTCAATAGATGTGGGAAGCTACTGTTTAACTGCAGTCTGCTGTATGCACCCAGCTTCCCCTGAAAACTCCCATAATCAGTTCTACATTGGAAATAACAGCTTTCCTAATGCCCTGTCAAACATTTAACTGCTCTCCATTATCACACTAAAAATATAACTACTCCATGAAGCATAGTTAGGTGGATGATTAACACAAACTGAATCAAAATAGACCAAATATTCCTCACTACACAGTAATCCTGTTCAATCCTTCTTCAACAAAAACAATTTCACCTTCACTGTTGCATTCCAAAACACCCTGAAAAGTTGGTCCATAGTTATATCCACGAAGATGCAGCTCTTGGTAAACATCTTCCATCAAGAGGCCAGACTTCTCAGTGACGTTTACTTGACTCTGAAAGTCAGCCAGCTGGTTATGAAAGTTCTTCAGAGCATCATTTTCCAGGAGGGAGATCTTCCCTGACGGGCACAGTGGCAAGAATAAGAATCAGTGTCCATACATAACGGATTTGAGCAGTCCAAAGCATGAACACACACTTCTTTCACTTACCACTCACAGCCAAGTTCCCGTTCCCTGACACTTCAAAGCTGTGGGAAGCAGGCATGATTCGTACTTCCAGCTGTGTCGATCCTGCAAGAAACATTGAGGAAGACAGTACTGTGAGGTCATTCATTTCCTCCATCCTCCAGCACCATTTCCAGACTCATTCCAGACAACAAGGAACAGAGATGGCCATAAGATGTGCTACTTGACTAAACAAAGAAGTGAATTCATACAGTCACGTTGCACTCTTCCTTTTATTCTTCCCCCTATGTTTCTCTTCACTTTCTCTTTGCATTTTCGCCCTTCCTTCCTTCCATTCCTTTCATTAGTTTTGCAGTTGTGTCAGCATCTCCCACTTACCCTTTTTGGGAAGGATAGTTGCCTGATGGATTGTAACTTCTTCAAACATAACAGCTGTTTGCTCCATGACCATGCCAAGAGATCGTGCCAGAGTTCGCCAAGCCAGCACTAAGTACCCAGTGGCTGGATACAGGACTCTGCCATCAATGCAATGACCAACCAAGTAATGGTCAGGAGAGTCAGGACTCACATCTGAGAAAGAAAAAAACCATCAGTGTAACAATAGAAAAAAATCTTGTAAACAAGGAGATCATTCACCTTCAACTTCTGTAAGAGATCATTTGTTTCCCAAACAATCCTGCTTGAAAACATTAACCTCTTAGAACTGCTGTCAGTCCAAAACAGGACAGTTTCCCTCTCTGCTCGTATTCATTTATCCCATTTCAGAAGTAGATCCAGTCTTTTTGAAATTATACAAATAAAAATACATTCTGCTTCAGAATATGGCAAGCATGCTGAGTACCCCTGAGGTATCCTTCCCCTAATTTTATAAAAGCATCAAACCATTAAGGTTGGAAAAAAACCTCAAAAATCAAACTGTTAACCATTACCACCACCATTAATTGAGGTCTTTAAGTGCCCCATTTCCATATTTTTTGAACCCCCCTAAGATTGTGACTCCAACACCTCCTCTCTGGCAGCCTGCTCCAATACTTCACCTCTTTTCCTGACAAAATTTTCCTAATACCCAATCCTGAATCTCTTCTGGTGCATCTTGAGGCCGCTATCTTTTCTCCTCTCAGAATTAAAGCAGGAAAAAACAAGAACTACAGCTACAGACAAACATACCGATATTGTAGACTGAAGCAGATGCAGAGCCTTTGGAACCTGAGGGAAAGTCTTCAGCTTTTGGAACATCCCAGTCCTGACTGTGGTCCCATTTGATATATGGAGAAATAAGGGGTGTTCCCACAGGGACAGGGTATTCCGCAGGTGGGAACAAGTTATTTCCAAGAACATTTATTCTACAAAGACAAAAAGGATTGAGACAATTGGAAGGGGAAAAAAGAATTTAAAGTTTGATTGTGTTACTTAAAGGTCAGACAGCACTCATTCTTGGGCTCCTCATCTGAGACATCTCCAGGAGCTCCACAAGCATTTACTGCAGCCAGATCTGTAATTCTAACTGCTTATGAGATGCAAAGTTTATTCATAAGAGCCAGTTTCAGGTTTTCAGATCTCTGGAATGGAACTTCTCTTTGAAAGGTACCCAGCCCTAGCAGCCTCTAACCCAGGGCAATGTTTCTTAAGTGAGCATATAAAATACATAAAGCACAGGTGTAAAAGCTGGTTTTTTTCCACCAAGTTTATTGAAGGAGTATTTCAATACTTGTGAGGACACACACACTAAAGGGTAGGCTTGAATTCTGATACCCTACTCACCCCTGTTCCCTCAGTCTCCTTACCCAGTCAAATGAATCTTTCCAGTCTGTGTTAGGAAGAATTCCAAGTTATTTTTGTGGTCCTTCTTCATCAAAGGTAGAATAGTGCAAGTTGGCTTCAAAGTTCTCCTCAAGATAGCCTGGTCAGAAGTTCAGCAGTCAACATCAGAAGGCATTACTACTTTGTTTCTGATTTCCCCCCTCCTCCACTGAAGAAAAACTGCTTTCTCACACTACTTCTGCTGTAAGAGTTCTGAGACAGGTGCTAGAATATGCACATTTTAACAGGGAAGAACCAGCACAGCACAATGCCCTTCCATCCAGCCACCCAAGAAACTGCATGTCTTGCAAGGAAGAAATTTAGCAGAACATCATGAATATTACATAGAAGTCTCTCTTTCCCAAACAAATTGCCACTCAGATTCCACACAGAGGGCCTGTCAGTCTTGATTTTTTCCCCTCCACCCTGCTTTACACACACACTCACCTAATTTGGTCTAATTATGCATTTTCCTTACACCAGTTTGGAGAGCTAACTGTCAGCTATCTAAAGCACATGACAATGAAAGATGACCACAAACTGAGTGCGTGGATGGGGAAGTGAGAGTGTGTTGGGATCCATTTATTTATTGTTAAACAAAAACCTCTACAACTGGGGAAGATTTCAGGTACTGGAGGAAGAAGATTCTCAGAACTGGAAAAACAACCAACCACAAAACCAAACCAAAACAGTATTCCTTAATTCTTACACCTCCCATCCCCTTCCTTGCAGCAGGACTGATATGGTACAACACTGCTATAATCAAATACAGTACCTGCAAAAGAGCATGTGGAGCAATCTCCACCACAACAGCATTCTCTGGAATATGCTTCAGGCCTTCATGGAACAGCACAGGATTCACCAGGTTGTTCACGTGATACTCTGCAGAGGAATTCCTGGCAAGATCACTCTGCCACTGAGATTCAGGGATAGATGTACTGATCCACCGAGCTGAACGAGGCTTAGGGTGTGGAATGACCTGCAGACAGACAAGGAAGAGAGACAGAAGGAAGAGACAGGTCACAGGTCAAGAGTAAGACAGGTAAGATTGAGCAGCTTCACTCCCTTCTTGTGGGTCACTTTTCTAATCTTGATTGTTGAGGTCATCCCTCAGCTTAAGGTGGTAAGAGTTGACATCTGAGGTCTCATAAACGCTCTTTGAGAACGTTCCTTCCCCTCTTGAGGAAAGGACCCCACTTAACTCATTACAACCAATGCTGAAATGCAGGTACCCCAGCATAAGCACTCTGTGATTCAGCAGTATTACCTTTTTCAGTGCACTGAGCAGTGCTGGTGCAATGGATGCCATGTAATAGGAATGAAATGCAACTCCGGCGCTGCGCACCTCCTTTGCAAACACCCCATCTTTCTTCAGTTTGGTTACAAACTCAGTCACAGAGTCCTAAGAAGAATATAAGATAACTAAAAACAACAGCTCACAACATTTTTGAGATGTGCTTGAGTCGCTGTACTCCCTATAAGCACTTTAATACTTGCCACTTAAGGGCAGTTGTATCTGTAATGAGGTTATTGTCCTTCTCAGCACCATCATTCATCACTCATTATGCCCATGGCTATATGAATATTCAGCAATCTGTAATTACTACCTTACTGAAGCAATAACGTCACTTCCCTTTGGAGAAACTTGGGGTGTTTAAGCACCACGTCCCCTCCCACCACTTTAACCCTGCTTCTCTTTCCAGGCAGCTGAACCTTAGCTCAGCTTCATGTTTCCTCCAAACTAGAACTTCCAAGGTTCCACTCATAGATGTGGTATGCACTGTATCAGTTCCTTGCTTACCAGAGGCCCTGAGACAGTGACAGTGTCCTCAGAGTTGTGACATGCTGGTACCACGTTTGGAGGACAGCGCTGCTTACATTCCTCCCATGTCAGACCTACAGAAGAAGAGTTGGGGTCAAAACAGGGATTTCAAGCAGTGAACCTCATGAGAGGAGGCAATCTTAACTGCACTTAACTCAGATATCCTCCTTCTACCCAGCAGTGACTCTGCAAAAGCAAAGGACATTAATCTCATGGCTTTAACACTCTTTTTATCAGTGGGATATTGAGCACAAGAAGAGAAGGAGAATCTTTGGGCCATCCTTTGGTTGAGAAGAATCTAGCTAGAGACCACCTAGGCAAACTCACTCACAAATCCACAGGCCCTGATGGGATGCACTCACAAGTGCTGAGGAAGTTGGCAGCAGTGATGGCCAGCCAGCTCTAAACTGGCTTAAGTCAGCTTAACATATGCAGGATCTGGCCATATGTTTTTCCAGAGGAAAAAGTCACAGCAGGGGCTTGAGTTCAAAGCCTGATTATGAAAAACATCATGTGCATGCAGCACTCTAAAATCTGTGATATAAATGTATATGACACTGAACAAAATAAAGCTGAGTTAGATACATAGTCCTTTATAGCATCAGTTAAAATAAGAAACCAAGGACTCCAACAAGTAACATAGATAAATTCACTGCATTAGACCTGAACAGCTTTCATCTGAAGTGCTTTACTGCTTTTAATTGACTACTGCAGCACTACTGTTCTCTATTTTTATGATACCAATAAACATCTTATTTTCAAACACTTAGGTCACCATAAAGCCACAGAGGACAAACTGATGGGATCAAAGCTCAGAACATCCCTGAGTAGTGGAACAAACAGATTTACAGAAACACTGAGTACAGCCTGACCAGGAGAAAGCTTCTTCCTAAGCATTAGGAGGCAGAAGCAAGTGCTAAGGGTATACCTACCAACAGCAGCCATCCCTCCTGGGGGCAATTTGGCCTCTTTCACACATCGGCCCCGCCAGTAAGCAGCAAGAACAGCTTCTTCATGACTTAAGGAATTATCTGCATAGCCACAAGCTAGTTCACCCACTGAGTGACCCAAAATCCCATCAGGTTGCAGACCTGCAGCCTTTAGCACATCAATTTGGGCAATCTGCAGGGAAAAGCAGAATCAGTGCTTCCAAGCAGGTGTAAGGATACAGAACTTTGGACAGACTTTCTCCCTGGCCTCATTGCTTCTCCTCCCCCCCAGCAGCACCTCCAGTCTCAATTTCAAAGCATCTCAAGATTCATTGTTTGGGTCTTTCCACTAGGAAGCTATTTCAAACAACAGGAGGTTGCCAAGAGCATGTTCATGCAAAGCAAGAGCCAAGCCCAGCTTTTCAGTTCACTTTAAAAGCTCTGCCCCTGGTTTACTATGAGACAATGAATCCCGCTTTGACACCCATCCAGAATTAAAGAGACTTCACTGGACATCATTTAGCTCGTTTTTAGAGCAAATTTTAGAAGGCATTCTACAGAACCTTGCTCCTTGGCAGACATTTACACAGAAATTCAGACATTCTTCAGTCTCCTGGAAAAACTACCCCACATCACACACACAGATCCGTTTACATCAACATTCCTGCAAGCATCTTGGAAGCAGCAGCTCCCAAGGGTACAACTCACTCTCCTTGAGATCTCCAACAATTATCTACCATTTGCTGAGTGCAAAACACAAACTTCCATTAAGTGGTACAAAGCACTACCAATCAGATACAACAGCAGAACGTGCTCCTGTGCCCATAACCCCTCTCCTTCCTCCACTCATTTCAGTCTTACCTGTATAGCAGCTAGCCCAACAAATGCATGGACAGTGTCATCAAAAGTGTTCTCATCTGCACACAGAAGCAGGTCTGAGACTTTCAGTCCTGTGCTCTTCAAAGCCTCATCGGAGCGCAATATAGACTGGCGAAACAGATCCAATTTCATAAGGCTCAGGCCCATACCTTTCCACTGTGTTCCCATACCTGCAGGATAAAGCATGGAGAAGGTGTGCTTTGGGAACACTCCACAAGATGGGGCAGACCTCACACACTTGCTTTGGCAGTGAAAGAATCCTAATAATGTACTGCACATTTCCAAAACTCTCTAAGTTACGCAGTGCTTTTCCATTCTCCTGGACTTTCATCAAAGACAAATAGGAAGCATTAGCTAAAACACAGGAAACACAATTCTCCTATGCATATCACAAGACTGTGCAACAGTTTGCGACAGTTCCTTATGTCAAAGAGCAGAAAACAAGATTAGTGCACAAGATCCAACTGCACAAGCTTCATTACTACAGAAGAATGCAGAAACTGTGGCCCCACCTGAGCAGATGTACCAGAGAGGTCTACCAGATGCTTGGACTTGCTGAATCTCTGTAATGTCACTCTCAGTGCCAACTAGCGTGTAGCCCCTGTAGGGCATGGAAGATGCAGGAATTGCAGAGATATCACTGAGCAGGCTTAAAAATGAGCTGCATCCTCCATGTTTCCTGCTTTCTTCAATTAGTGTTTCCACAGCTTCCTGTGTCCTGCCACAAACTTGAACCAGCCTTGGCAAGTTACAAGTCTCTTGAGGCTGGCACTTCTTCTCATTTGGCCTCAGAATAACATGAGCATTAGAACCTCCAAAGCCAAAAGAATTGATGCTGACAAGGCCACCTTTCACTGGTGTTGGTTTGCAAACCACTTTCAAGGAGCCATCGTGTAAAGCAGGAATATCTGGATTTGGATCATTGAAATGAAGATTTGGAGCCCACAGCCCGTGTTCCAGAGAAAGAATGACCTGAAAGACAAAACAGAATACTCTGTGTTCCACATTTTCTTGCAACAAATGTTCTTTTGCTGTTAGTGTTCTTCTATAAATGACCATGTAGCACACAACAAAGCATTTCCACTTAAGTTTGTACAGAGACCCTTCACAGCCCAACACCAAATTCATAGTGGTACTATCTACTTCACCTAGGCAAGTTTTAAGGCCATGCTTTTAAGTAAGTGGTTTTAAGCTTAGCTTACAGATCCTTCCTAACTGAAAGCTATGCTAGTCTTGCTTTAAAGTCTTGCCTGGCTGCTAAAAATATCTTATCTTCTTTCTCCTCTTTCAGATAACACTGCTGTCAATAAACAGCTATCAAACAAGCAGGGACAGTAGCAGTTTGCTCTCCTAAGCAGTTTGGCAGCCATGGCTGAGAGATGACTGTCTGCTTTCAGCAGCAGTTAGTAGGTTGGTTGGTGGCAATCAGTTATTCAAGCTGGTAGCCTTATCCCACTTGGCTCCTCACCAACACAAGAGATGGAGGAGACAAACAGCCCAAAGGATTAGCTACTCTTTTGGCACTGAAAACCCCAAACTTTTATCTTTGCTTATGGCAACCTCCCACCTAAGTCCCTTAGCCCTCCGTGCTTTCCCTCACCAGCCATGCGTTGTTACCTTGGCTAATGCAGCAAGCCCAGAAGCAGGCTCTGGATGACCCATGTTTGACTTGGTTGATCCAATTAACAGAGGCTCTCTCTCACACTGGCAGAAGACATTTACAATGCCATTTACTTCCTGCGGATCTCCAACCTAGCAAGAAAACAATCAGAACAATTAATACTTTCAGAACACAGCAGAAAAGAAAAATCTAAGAAGTCTGTAAAATCCAGAAGTAAAAGAAAGAAGTGCAAGTCCTTCATCTTCACTTTGAAAGAAAAACAGAATAATCTCATGGGAAAGCGTGGTAAGAGATGCAGGGGAAGAAAGACCCCAAAAATCAAAAAGCCCATGCTGACCTTGGTGCCCGTCCCATGAGCTTCAACATACTCCACATCTCCAGGCTTGATACCACATTCTCTGTACAGAGAACCAACCAGCTGCTGCTGCATCTCTCCAGATGGGAATGTCACACCTAGGACCAAAACCATCATCAATTCCTCTCCCCCACCAGAAGTTTCCTGTTCTAACTCAGCACCATTCAAAAGGTTGGGGCTACAGAAGAAAGCGACATTTTTTTCAAGGCTTTGCAACAAACACAGGCAGCCCCTTGGACCCTTTGGAATAAGAGCCAAAGAACCAGAAACTGAACTAAACCAATGACTTAGAGCGCCACAGGAAGATACCAGTCAACAGAATATGCTGTGTTTATGGTGAGCAACACTTGTGAGACTCAGCATCTCCAGGAGTGAGAGAAACAGGACAGTAGCACAAAAAGAGCCTTCCAGTCACAGTATTTATCTTTCTACTACCTGGTCAGATATACCCTGAGGAAGACTATGCTAGCAACAGGACTCTCCTGTTACTCACCACTTTCATCCCTTTCCCAAATAGGGTCCTGAACTTTGTATTATCAAAGTTGAAAACAAACAAAAAATCCAAGCAAATTAAGAACACACACATCTAATGAACAGAAAACCCACAGTATCCCTTTTTTGATGAGAGACTGCAGACTCAACAGTTCTGTAGGTACCTCACTTTTCAGAGATGAAGACTTACCCTGCTCCTTAAAGCCATCAGTGTTACTCCCAGCATTCACTATGGTGGCATAGATGCGTTTAGCCATGGATTTCTTGGTCAAGAGCACAACAACAACAGCTTCAGAGCGACAATATCCATTTCCTGAGAACAGGGACAGAACATGTCATGAGTCTGTTCAGCATCAAAGCCACTGCACACACTAAGGTCACTTTGCTTCTGACCTATTGCTTCAAGTACATTGCTTTTGAATACAATAGATATGTTTGCTTAAGGAATTATGTCCTAGATTAACGTCCACCTCTCATCACAAGTGATGAAAGAAAGCCTCCATCTCCGGATGGAAACTCTCTCCCCCCGGCACAGAAATAAATCATACAATTTCTTTCCCACAGGTAATTTTCTAGGCTTAAGGGAGCATGCAACACAGATAAAGCCCATTCATGTCCCAAGCAGAGCACCTAAGAACAACTGGACGAGTTACCTGCACTGTTACTACAGCATTACATCACAGACCCAGCAATAAGTTCATCTCCTACTGCAAGGTAATTCTCCATGGTAATGCCTTACCTGAAACATCAAAAGCCTTGCAGGCACCATCAGGACTAAGCATGCCCAGCTTCATGAACTGCACAGAAGTGTTGGGCTTCAGCAGAATGTTGACCCCTCCTACCAGGGCTGCACTGCACTGCCCGTGACGAATTGCTTTATAAGCATTTTCTAGAGCCATGAGACTGGAGGAGCAGGCTGTGTCGATAGTTAAGCTTGGTCCTTAGGAAATAAAGAGGGAGGAAAAGGGTGGTTGTTGTTTGTTTGTTTAAATATACTGCTAGTTTTCTAGAATTAATCTCCAAAGACTGCAGGATAGGATCGCAGGACAAATGCATTAAAAAAATATTAAGTAATCAGAACATTACAGGTAATCTTTATACACCAGGGGACAAGATTTACCACTTCTCCTGCTTGCCAGTTAGTAAGAGATTTGTAGGAGATAAAAAAAAAAAAAAAAAAAAAAAAAAAAACACAACAAACCCCCACAGTTTGGCTTTAGGGATACCTTCCAAATTTTCTTCTTCATCTCCATCAACTAAAAAGACATGACAGCATCACGTAGGCAAATAACACCCCTTCCCTACTCACAGCAGAGGGAAAAAAAAAAATAATAATAAAAATAAATCACTCCTCCTTCCTCATGCTATTCTTGCCATGATCTCTGCTCTCCGGAGTGATTCCCATCCCTGTCTTCAAATCCAGACATAATTGAAGCCACATCTATACCTTTAGTCAATTTCAGGCTGGTGCCTCCCCCATTTCTCTCACTTTATTCAAAAAGAGTCACCTGTTCCAGCCAGTTTGCCTCTGGGCTTGCTGACTTCTGCAGTTCAATAGCAAATAGCAGCCTAAAGGCAGATAGAAGATCTGACATCTTTCAGATGAATCCCAGCTACAGCCATCTTCAACAGCTGAAGCACAAAGCCTCATAATGGTTCTCAACACACAGTTACATCACAGTTTTCACTACTCACATGCCACTTTACAGCAGTTGCAGGCTGGCTTCTCATCCTAAAGGAATCTCTGTCACCATATCCCTGCCACTCCCCCAGAGAAACAGTTGTACAACCATGCTGAAATTGCACTGCTGATCAGCAAGTATTGACAGGTCTGGGGGCACTTACCTGTAAAATCATAGAAGTATGAAATCCTGTTGGCAAGCATAGCACGCTGGCAGCCAGTCATACTGTATCCCAAAAGCTCCTCTGGATCTTGGCTAAGGGCTTCAGCAGCTTCTGAGCCACTTGCACCAATCCATACACCCGTGTCTGTGCCACGGAGGGCAGTTGGATTAATGCCTGCAGGGATATTGGAAAGTAGGTTACAGCTGACAAACTCATCATGAGAGGAAAACCAGGAAAGCATCAGGTACAGGTGGCACCAAGTAACCAAACACAGCTTTATACTGTCCCTTTCAGGCAGGCCTGCAGCATTGCTCTCTTGCTCATAGGTGCCTTTCTACCTGCTTCAGTAACAGACCTTCTGCAGAGCTCCTGCTTGTTCAAGCTGTTTTTCTTACAACAGTTCACCAGAACTCTGCTATTGCCCAAAACTTACCGTGCTCTGTATGTGTATATACACACAGAAACACAGACACGTGTGTGTATAAGAGATAGACAGCTTTTCAACTTAGATGGGCATGGCTAGAGTCTTATGCAGAAGTGCACAACTATGAAATCAGATAGCTAAAAATCAAACTTCTAGCATGAAGAAAAGCAGACAGAAAGTTAGAAAGCTGCAGCACATGGGATGCCTTGAGCATACAAAACCTCTCTCTGTACACAAGTAAAGCCCAGATATGAAGTATAAGAAAGAAAAGAAAAATTCCTGGGCACAAAAGCCAACAAGTTGGAACAAGAAATAACTATGCTCTAAAAAACTGCACGGAAAACTCAACTTGCACTATTCTCTGCTGTTCCTTCCTTGTGCTGCAGGAGTTCTGGAGACAAGCAGATTATTCAAGCCTTGGGACTGAGGCTCAGCAGCAGAGCAGGAAGCGTTAATTTGTTGTTAATGGTGAGCCAGTTACAACTTTTTCCATGTCTTCTTATATTCAGACATGAAATTAATTAACACAAAGAAATAACTTCTTGGCTGTGTGGGCACATAACTAAAAAACGTAAGGCTTTAAGTAAGAGAAAGGAGGTTCCTGCTTCTGGAAGTACGATCTCCACCATACCTTCTGCACACCAGGGATAAGAATTCTCAGGGAGTCATCTTTCCTCTGCCCTACAGTTATTCCTGAGCCTGAGCAGGGATCTGTTACAGAACATTACAGTAAAGCCTGAGTGTAGGGATTGTAGGGACATCAACATACAAAAAGCTCTCATGCTGTTACTGTTTAAACGTTTCTGTAGTAATGGTTCCACTGTGTGAGACCAGTGGAGATTCTCTGGCAGTCGATGCAGATTTCCTAGTTCAAGCTCTGGAGAAAATGGCTTTTGTTCTAACCCTTGTACCAGCTCCTTGGTCTCCTGCCTATTGTGAGGGCTCTCTCATTAGTGATCACACAGGTGCATGTCTGCTGCCTAGAAGCAATACAGCAGACATTTCCCTCTTCAGCCATCCACCCATAGCTCACCTCCATCCAAAATAGCTTCATAAGAAACTTCCAACAACAAGCGAAGCTGAGGATCCATTGTATGAGCTTGTTTGGGGTGGACTCCAAAGAAGGAGGCATCAAATTTTTTTATGTCCTTGAGCTTTCCATTTCTTTTGGGCAGTCCATAAATTCCTGAGAAGAAAAATGTGACACCATATCACAGATTGCATCAGTTTAGAGGCAGCTACCAGCTGAGACAGAGCACAGGATGACCACAGCTGATTCTCAATTACACATGAAACATTACTTTCCAACTGCAGCACTTGGAGTGCTGCACAAAACCTATCTACTTGTCTCTCTCAATCTCATCTGGAAATTAAAACGCTGCATTAACAAAAACAATTGTGATTTTTAAAGACTGTTCTGGATATGGCAGCAAAAGGTACCTGTCTGATACTAAGCATCTGAACTTGATAAGATGTGCCAAGCACACAGACTGACTCTGTGGTTCCAGTTAGAATAAAAACAAAAGCTACTTTTCACTTCTGCATATCACTGGCTTGAATTCAGAAGGATAATCAGACAGAAAAGAACATTTTAAGAAGCCATAAGTCCCAGACATGGAGTCCCCCAGCTAATCTGAGCCCAGAAAAAGAGCAGACAAGTCTTATTGCCACAGCTACCAGTAGCAGGTCCAGGACTCACAGTGCACAGCTGCTCTGCCAGAAGCATGCTTTTCCCTGGAAGCAAACTACATATTATTTACTAGCCATGACTGTGGGATATGACTATAAAACGCATTACTTAAAACCTCCATAGAAGCATTTTGCTCCTGGATTCTTCGGTCACATATCTGAAATTAATTATAACTCTTTAGCAGGGTTTTGCATCTGATTCATCTTTTCCTTCCATGGGCAAATTCCTCTGAGCTCCAACAGGAAAGGCAGTAAGTGCTCACCTGGTTTCCACCTCCGATCGTCCTCTGTGACCATATCAACTCCATTCAGCAGGTTCTCCCAAAACTCCTGCAAGTTCTCAGATTCCGGCAGCTTTCCTGCTATGCCTGCAATCACCACGTCTTCCATCTCCAAACTTCTCTCTGTTACTGAGATCCGAGAAAGCAGTAAGACTTGTAGGACTTCACGCAGAAGAACAGCTTTCCTGCCTTCCTAACATGTTGTGACAAACAAGTGGATTGCTGGGAGGAAACACCCACACAGAAATAGCCTGTGGAGCCTCCAGAACAAAAAGATATCCCAAATAATCAAAAGGACTGCAGGATTTGTGGAGACTGTGGGGATGAGAGAACTGAAGGAGTGCTGGGCCCTGAGAACCAGCAGCTCCTACGGGAACAGGTCTACCTCTAAAGGAGCAGCTCTGCCTTTGGAAAAGTCAGCAGAGAAGAAAGATTAACATGCTGGAGCGGAGGTGGGTGGGGAAATTATGAAATACATATAGTAAAATACATAATTACAAGGCAAACCTTGCAAGCAGCAAAACAAGTTCTGCGATCATTCCAAAGCGAAATGCTAACTTAAAAATCAATAATCAAAAAGCCTGGTGGAGGAAACAGCAAAAAAAAGAAAAAAATCAGATGGAAAAACACACAAAGATTCCAATGCAGCTTAGTGCTGTTTTAAATACCTGACATGAGAAGTTTTATATGCAAAACATTTCATAGAGCACTGAACTCTTTGGCGCTGTATTCAGGAGACTGGGAAGGAGGAACCAAGTGCCTGGGACAGAGAAGGCAGCTTTAAAACAAGGGTTGGCAGAAAGGACCTGGATTCTGTATTGGGGAATACCTTAGTGATAGTCCCAAGGAACAAGCATTCTGAATGCCCATCCTTTACAACACAAGAGAGCACCATTCCACACAGCACAACCAGCCATCTACGGTATGGCTTGAGTTGGAAGGGACCCCTAAAGGCCAACTGGTCCAACCTCCCTGCAGCGAGCAGGGATACACCCAGCTCCATCAGTGCTCAGAGCCCCATCCAGCTCACAGCACCAACTGAGAGCTCGTAGCACAGTCAACGCACACAACTTCTTCTGCATTACATTAAAAAAGCATTAACTAAGCAGAAAGGAGGCGAGTTAACCTGATGTTCCAGTTAAGCTCACATTATAGTTAGCAGACCCTACGTAGACAAGTGAGATGCATATCTGGTTTTCTCCTCTATGTACATGCGTGGTTGTATGAGCAAAAGACATAAGGAAGTATTGTGAATGCTAACTAAATCCTTCTGCTAAGTAGAGGAAAATATCCTCCAGAATTGACATGTGGGATTCTTAAGAAATTTTAAAAAAATAAAAAATAATTAAAAAAAAAAATCACAATGAAAACTGGGTGCTGTAACTCTGCTTTAATAGTCTTGAAGGAAATGCTTTGAGATGGAAGACCTGATGTGGGTTTCTGGCGCAGATCATGCTGCACAGGCCATGTGGGCTCTTCCCAGAAGCACTCGATCTCCTCCCCTGTAGAACAGCATCACTGGGTACTCTGAGATAAGTACTTGGATGGATAGCTGCTTTTCCAACCCAAGCAGTTTCATTTGGGAATGTTTTCACAGCCTCTTTCAGAAACTGCTGGATTTTCTGAGCAAGACATAGGCCTCGACTGGCTCCCAGCATCACAGCTGCCTGGCGACAGCACAGCCCTCTGCTTCGCCCAGTTTTTATGGCAGTACAGCACACACACACCATCCTTGGGATCCCTCATACTCCTCTTCCCTTCGGCGCGTATCTCCATTCAGATCTGTGCAGTAACTGTGGAATTATGCAACGCTCTGAGGCAGAAGAGCTGTTACCTCACCCAGCCCACTCCTCCTGGGAGCAAAACCCAAAGTGCTTTCCAAAGGACATCTGGGATTTCTCAGCCTTGCGTTAAATACTGCAGACAACACAATTTCCATCCCACACTAAGCATTCACTTAAGAAGGGAAACAGTAAGGCTCAAGTGCTTAAGGCCTTAATGGGAAAATACACCCCAAAAGCAAAGCCAGTGGTACCAGGCACAGCCTGCTCTGCTCTCCCCTCACAAAGCTCTATTGGGTCAGTGCTGCTGTTGGGGTCCCCACCATGCTTGGAGGACTCAACAGAAGCCCACAGCTCTGCTATGCACCCAGCAGTTCTGCAGAGAAATAATGGATCTGGAGCTCACAGGCCAGGTGTGATACAAGAGCCACACAGCGATGCTCGGTTCTACGCCTCACCTTCCCAAGCGCTGATCCCTAAGGGAAGAAAAGCTGCGTGTCAGAAGACTGAAACCTCACATCTGAGATTGCCCCTGCCTCCAGAGCATCAGAAGAGCTCCAGGTATGGCCAACCCCAGCACAGTGCTGCTCTGACACAGACATAAAGCGGAACCGATCGTCAAAGCCCTTTTTGCCAGCGTGGTATCAGCACAGTTGAGCAAAACTGTGCCAAAGGCAGCAAAAAAATAAGATGCTGTGGTAATCAAAAATGCCGAATAAAGGCCAAGAAGTTAATTTTAGCTGGGTAAGTGGACAATAAGAGCCACAACGTAAGGATTTACGTGCACAGAGAACCGGACGAAGAGCTCCAGATGCCTGGTTATGGAGCCAGCAGCACACACAGCTGAGGTGGTTTACTGCAGAAAACCAGTGGGAAGAGAAGGAATCGTGAATGAAGCAATCCTTGATTAAACAGTGATTCAATCAGATGTTACAGCTACCCATGATGTCCTTGGACATCTTTCATGAACAGGTGTGCTATGTTAACGTCTGACATTGCCCCCAATGGCACATTCCAGTGCTTCCATACAGCCAATGCTCACTCTTCTCTGTAGATCCCTTTTAAAGTATTGAAGTATTTGAAGTCACTGACAGTGCCGGGAAAGAAAATTCTTTCTACAGCTGTTTTAGAGGTGATCTGATATCAGGAAGTATACCTAGGGAATCATTCTCATTACATTTAATAAGCAAGGCAAACAGCAATGGGGCAGGGAAGGAGACCAAGAAAGATGGAGTGATAGACGGGATTCTCCAGTTCCTTAAGGCTGCGTTTTGTTGGCTCCAACCAGACATCCAGTACCCATTTTCTCCTGTTTTCCCTGTGATTTTCGTAGATAAAACACCAAAGCCTTGAATGTACCAGCAGCAACCTCATTTAGGCATAAACTATCACCTCACTGCATTTACACAATATCTTTTCTTGCAATGATATTGCGTTGCTGACTCATTCCATTTGAGACTAGTAATAACTAACCATCCCTTCTGGTGTTATTGACTAGTAACAGCTTTCATCATTTTACACTCGTGCTCTGGTTATCTGCCTCCCACATTGGCTGCCTGACAAGGTGGGCTTGTTCCAGTACTCTAAACCAAGAAGAAAAGAATCATTCTGTTACCACCATTTCTAGCGGCTCAACAGCTGAGATTATAGGAGAGGAAAGAGGAGAGGGCAGTTCCATTTCCCACATGTACCCAATTCACCAAACTCCAAGAGAACAGTTTTCTTATTCTGCTCTACCTCCATTCACCTGAGGTTAAGTGAGTGTTGTTGGAAGGGAGGAAGAAAGCACAGAGACAACGAAAGAAGAGCTCCCAAATCCCGTTTTGCTTTCACTATGGTGGAACAGAATTCTCAGCACCACCTCTGTGCTACTGACTCCAGGCAGCCCTGACCTGCTGGGATCTCCCAACTGCTCCTTCAGCACAGACTGCAACCGAAGGTTTGCTTCCTTAGCTCACAAATCTGACTGCATCCTAGCCCAGCTTTCCTAATCTCCAATTATCATTCACAAAAGGGACAATTAAAACTACCATTTCACAGGAGCATCTCTTGTAGGGAGCTGCAAGGCCCGTCTCCAAAAATAAAACTCCACAGAACAGAAGCAAACAGGGAATGCTTTTCATTTCGTTGGGCTGATGTCAATCTGTGCATCACAGCTTCAACTTCACAAAGACCTTTTCACTGTCCCTTCCTGCTTGCAGGCAGGATCTGTACCATCGGCCACGAGACAAATGGCAAAGCAGCGGTGCATTTTAGTATTCAAAACAGCACTTCTTATCTGGAAACACAGCCGGGTTCAGGACTGCTGTGCAAGAAAGGCAGGTGAGGTTACACTCACAGAACCAATGCAGCCCTGTTGATTTCCCAGCGATCAGATCTGAGTTATACCAACTGAAGTCCCCAGCACCACTGTGCCATCACTGTTTTTGGAAATACCTCTTTATAACTGCTCTCCCTGTAGAGCCTTTGTCCTCCAAACTCACTCACTAAACGCGGCCTTCCAATGCCTGCCATGATTTCCAGTTTGCCTCAAGAAGCGCAGAGCTCAGGATGTTCACCTTTTGTTCCAGTGGATCGAGATTCTTTTTTCCCCCCTTTCGTTTTTAAAGCCTCCAAATTATTAATATAAATGGGTGCAACGCAGCTCCTTATAATAAAGCTCTGAGCCAGGTAAAACCCGTGCTCTGTAGCTGGAGGAGTACAGCGGGTTGCTTCCCCCTATGCCAGGAGAGGAAAATGAAATCCGAGCGGGGACAGAAGGGAGAAGACAGCAACCACGACCCGGATGGAATCACAGCATCCAAAGCAGAGCGGGGTACAATCAATGGGTTATAAATAATAATAATTAAAAAAAAAAAAGTGCGTGTGCGGGGATGCTGCAGCTATCGGCCCTCCCGAGAGCCGCACGCATCGCTCCCCGCTCCTCCCGTGGCCTGCAGTCGCACCGCTCCGCGTCCGCTCAGCACCGCCCGCCGCTCCGCACCGCCGGCTCTCGGCAGAAAGGCGAGCGGCCCTCACCGCCCGCGGCCCTCCGAGGCTCTCAGCCCGCCGCCAAGATGGCCGTGCGCCGGCAGCACAATGCACGGCTCGGCCCACAACCGCACCGCCCCGCCGGCGGGGAGCGGCCTCGGCGCCGCCGCGTTGTGCCGCGGGAGAAAGGGGACGAAGGGAACGAAGGAAACCGGGAGACGCGAGGCGGCCGCGCGGAACCTTCTCGTTCTCCGGGGGGAGGGAACCGCACGGGGCCGGCCCGGCCGCGGGGCGCCGAGAAAGGAGCGGATGCCGCGGCGATCCCGGCCGCCGGTACCTGCGTGGCGCGGAGGTTCGTGCCGGGAGGATCCGGGCGGGGCGGGGCGGGGCGGCTCTCCGCGAGGATTCAGGCGCTGCGGCGGCCGCCGGTGCCGGGCTGCGCACGGCCGATGCTCCGCGCTCTCCTCACTGTCTCCCTCTAGCTCCCACCGCTATTTAAGCAGCCACCACCTCCGGCGGCCACGCCACATGGGCTGACGGTTTACTCCTCGCCGCAGTCCAATGAGAGCCGGGGCAGCGCCGCCCTGAGCCGGCCCCGGGGTGATGCCAGCCCCTGCCCGCCGGAGCCGTTCCGAGGGAGGGGGAAGGGAGGGGAGGAAAAGGAGGAAAAGAAGGGAAAGGAGGAGGGGGTCCCGAGCGCACCGGGGCGGACCCGGGAGGGCGCCGAGCCGAGCCCCGCCCCGCCCCCCGGCCGCGTTCCGCCGTTCCCGAGCGCTCCGCCGCCCCGATCCTCGCACCGAGGGGGGCTGGGGGAGGCGCACAAAGGGAAAGGGACGCGCAGTGCCGGGCCGGCACCCAACGCGGAGGCGGGGAAGAGTGGGCGAGGGCGCGGCCGTGCCAATGGCGGAGCCCGTGGGGGTGTTGCTAGGCGATAAGGCGATGTGGTGACTGCGGAGGGGACGGCCGAGGCCGCCGGCGGCGGAGCGAGCGGCGCTGGGCCGCTTTCCGGCGGTCGTTCACCCCGGCGGAGCGCGGCGCCGAGGTTACCGCAGGTCAGCGGGCGCGGCGGCCGGGGATGCGCTGCCCCGTGTTGCCCCGGGCCGCCCCGGGCCCGCCGCCCCGCTCCGTGCTGACGCCGCGGTGGAGGAGGGGCCGCGGCGCGGATCTCTGTGCTTTTCGGTCGGCAGAAGCGGTGCGGAGCGGCGGGATGCGGGAGGCGCCAACCTGCCGGCAGGGCGTCGCTGCGGGTGGGCTGTGAGGGTCCCGGCGAGTTCTGCCTTTCTATTGATCAGCTGGAATCATTTTGTATAGGCTCTCCTTTCTTTGCACGAGTCGGTCGCAGCCGAGGTGTTGCCTCTCCACGCTTCTTTCCCTGGTTTTTAGATCAGTGACTGATTTGTGAAGTATTTCGGTCATAATAGAAAGCTATGAGAATTTCCCCCCTCTATTTAGTGCACAGCTCAACCTCCCCACAGGATCCAAGTGTTATTGTCATCTTATTTATTGTTATTATGCTTGTTGTTAATGTTCAGCACACTTAGAATCACGGGACGGTTGGAGCTGGAAGGGGCCTAAAGGCCATCTGGTGCCACCCCTGCCCTGAGCAGGGACACCCAC